TTTTTTTTTCTATTCATTTTTTTCTTAGATTCAATTAACTAAAGTTCATGTTGGACATAATGGTGATCAACAACGTGTATTTGTTGAACAAGAATTTAGTGATGAATTTGAATTAAAAAAATTCGTTAAAAATTTACGACATAATTTTGAAAAAACTTTTAATAATCGTGCTACTGGTGCATCTAGTAGCAGTGAAAATATTGATGCAAATCAAAATCCAAATAATAAAAAATCTGGGTAAATAAATTTTTCATTAAGAACTCTTCCATTATAAATCTATATATGATTTTAGTGTTATCGTTGTTGAAGAACCTGATGAAGAACCAAAAATCTATGAACAACAAGCTTATAATGAAAATATTGAATTAAAACAATCAGCAAATAAACAATCACCCTTATCTAATTCTCCAAAATTAGATAGTTGTGAACATTGTCGACGATCACCCATAGGTTCATCATGTTCAACAGTTCGAACACATAGACGTCGAAAACATAAAATGAAACATCATCGTGAAAAATATGATAATGAATTACATATAGATGAAAAAGATCATCAAAGTGAAAAAGTACCAAGTTATTCTCGACATTATGATGCAACACCTCGATTTCATCTACATCAACAACCACCACCACCACAACAACAACAACGAATTTATGGGAAAGAAAAAGATTTTCGAATGAGAAATGATCTTAGTGTACCACCTAATTTTAATTCTCAATGGGTATGAAATTTTTTCAATTCTTGAAATTTATTTATTTATCTTTTTGTTTGTCAGAGAGCTAATGGATATACACATTCATTAAATAGTCGATCACGTTCATATATTCCAGCAATGAATGAAAATAATTATCCGCCATCAACTCCATCTCGTTTTCAATATACTAAAGAACCATTCTTTCGTCCAATACATCCACCAACACCATCTCGTTTTACTCATTCAAAAAATCAACATAAATCTCAACCATCACCACGATTTCAACATACACCTCAACATCGTCGAAATCAACCAACAACAATTGCTGAACATTTTACATTTATGAATAATGAACATCAACAAACACGTGTACATCGTACACGATCAGATTGTCGACCACTTGCTCCAATACGAAATCGGAGTAAAACATATTTATATCTTGAATATGGAAATAATTTAAATCAACGACATTTTACTCCATATGCTCAACAAACAGCACCGATGTTTTATTCTCAAAGACGATTTTTTCGAAATCCACAAAAACATTCATGTTTATTTAATTCTTATCGTCCGAATTCGAAACGTTTTTAGTTTTTATAATTATTATTTCTATCACAATTTGTTTCAATACATAATATTCCCATGTTGGAATCTTTTATTGAACATGGCCATGTATATTGATGATGAAATAATCCGTTAAGACCATCTGGTATACGACTAGCCATACCAGATAAACTTGAATCTTGACGCGTCCAATCATGACCTTAAAAATAAGAATAAATGAAGAGAAAACATCATTTCCTAGTTCATATTTACAAGTATCGCTTGATGCTCTTCCATCAGCAGATGTTCCATGCCACCAGTATTGAAATCTAGGGAGAATAGAAAATAAAATAATTTCAATATCAATTCTATTAATTGAAGATGACCCATAAAGAATATGTCTTTCCTATATTGTCCAGCGGAGTACTGGATATTCCCACAGACCTATCTGAAGCTCTTCTTTTGAGTTGTGGTTAAAAAGAGACTATCCGTTAGTATAATGAAACTTACTCAGGTTTTGATCCTTTTACATCAAGAAATGCACTTTTAGGTGGTTTGTGTTCGAATATATCTTCCACTTTATCAAATAATGTTTGATTCTTTGAAGAAAAAAATAATGAATTTATAAAGAGAAAAAGAGAAAAAACAAACATTCATATTGATAATTTTTGCATTAACACAAATACCAGCAAATAAATGTGATAACCATTGTGTACTTGCAGACATAAATGCTTTATAATAACCTTTCAATTGATTACGTCTAGATACATCTTGGCATAAATCATTAAAGTCGGATAATCTTGAACAGGATGACGTTCCTCGATTTGAACCACACATTCCATGTACGTTAGGACCAAGAGCAAACATGTGTAGCTAAATACAAAACAGGTATTTATTTATTTACTCGAAATATAAAAAATACTTACTGTTGAACATGAAAGTGTTGTTCTACATCGCTAAAAAGAAATTATTAAAGAACAGGAATAAGAAAATGTAGATCCTACTGATGACGGAATGGCTATTGCTGTTGCTGGTAATGTCGATCCTTGTGTTGTAGTTGAAATCTATAATAAAATAATAAATTAAAAATTTTTTTTTTGAGAATCAATTTAAAATTAAATATTTTTACTTCGTTTCCTAGTCTTATTGGTATTAAATGACCATGAACTCGAATAAATACTGCTTGTAATCTTCTATAATTATCAACAACATGAACATATGTATGATCAGGTAAACTATATGATGCATCTGTTGCTTCTTTTATCGTTGAAAATACTCGTACATTTGTCTAAAAAAATCAATTTTATTATTATTATTTTTCTCCTTTAGATTAATCGTGATTTAACCTGTGTTGATTGCATACATGTTGGTGAACATGATGTACCGGTATCACCTCGATCACCTTTATCACCTTTTAATCGAATATACTACAATTAAAATAAAAAAAAAAATCGTCTAGATCTATATAATACAATATACATACCATATTGTAATCTAGACTAAATTGATTGGACACTGTTGACATTGTCGTTGATGGTGGTGGGGTTGTCGGACATACACAGGATGTTCCTTGAGCATTTCGAAATGCAATTTTCTAAAAGAAGATTCATATTTTAGTCTATAAAAAAATATGATCATACTTTAGTATCAAGAATTAATTGACGAATTGCCTGAGCAAGACGGTTTAAATTTACTTGAGAACCAAGGCAATCTTTTGTATGTGTATCATACTTCCAACCGCAATCTATATAAAATTAAAATTAATATCGTACTAACAAAGTGGTTCATGCAGCACCCACGCGAGCGGGGGAAGTGTACACACACACACCCCCCCCCCCCCCCAATAATTGAAAATTTTCGTTTTCTTTTCAACGACGGGAGCTGATTTGGGACAAATTTTGTGTTTTTTTAAGCAAATTTTTCTCTAAATACCCTTTTACACCCCCCAAAAATTTTTATGCTCTTGCAAAACCCGTTACACCCCTCCCTCCAATCTTAGACCCCTCGCGCGGGCTCTGGATTCATGATGCATAGAAGAAACCTTTGTGATTTATCATTAAATTCAAGTGTATTTGAAAATTTGCTATTGAATAATAATTAAAAAAAACATTTCTATTTGTTTTTACCTGTCGGACAAATACCATGATCACCTTTTTCTCCACGGTCGCCCTATAAATTAAATATTCTCATTTTTTTTTTCTCATAATTAAATTCATACTTTTTCACATGGACATGCAGGATATTTCTAGAGAATATACACATATATATAATTCATTATTTTTGATAAGCTTCTATTTAAATCTACCTGAGGTGTATATGTATTGAAAGCAGTTGTAGTAGTACCCTAGAATATATAAACAACAATAAATTTCAAGATTGTCTCTAGATGTATTGCTTTAAGCTATATATATATATATGTAAAAGAATAGCAGAAATCTGATCATAATCAATTGACAATTTGTTCTTTACTTCGGCAATTTTGATTAGGCATTGAAAGAATATCTATCATGTATGTTTATATTTGCAATGAAATGTATATCGAGACAAGGAACATTAGTTTTTGTTTATATAAGTAGTAAGACAAAAAATATACCTGCAAAATAAGTACTATAAGAAGTAAAATGAGCATTAACAACAATGAAGTAATAAATAATAATTCGACATATGGGGAATATAGAAAATGATTTTTATACTTTCTATCTCGTCTATTTTCTAATCGAATATGAGAATATAGAAGAAAAATATTTTTGTGGTATTAAGAATAATAGACTTCTATGACAAAGATAGCGACAAAGTAATTATTCAATCGCTGTGCACGACTTATTATACAGAATATATGGACATAGTCTTCCATCACTATTGTTTATTTATCAAGTAAGACATATACAAGCAAACTTTAACATTTGAGAAATCGATATATGACGACAATGATAAACGTCATGCCAGTTTTTTTCTCTTGTAACTTATTGTTCGCTTGAAAGAAAAAGAAAAATATGCGATTATTTTCTTTGCGGCTGACTGATAATATATTATAAACTCGAAAAAATTAGCAAGCAATAAAAAAAAAAGAAAAGAAGGATATTAGTAAAACATCTATTGTCTATCAAAAACATAACAGATGTTCAGAGATATTTTTCTTAACAAATGATTAATTGTTTTAAGATGTAAAGTTGTCTTACCATTGTAATTGTAACTACACTTAAATTTCCAGTAAAAACTGGTAGATCTCCATCATCAAACAGATCTCCTGAACCATCATAAATACTTGTTTCATCTATTGATCGTTGTTTACGATCAATTATTGTTAAACCTTCTTGTTGCTCAATTATATGACTTAATTGTTCTATTAACAATTCATTATTAATATCATCGAATGTATCTTGTTGAAGAGCTGTATCGACAATATGTTTAAGATTACGAACAATTGGATCAATTCGATTGTTTTCATTGTTTGTTGATGAACTTATGAAAGCAATTGTACATAGACAATTGATAATGATCATTAGAATTAGTAAATAAAGAAAAACGTACATTTGCCGGTACTTTCATTTAGTAGGTAATATATTGTAATAGTGTCTTCTTTTGTTTATCATATTGTCGTTGATGAAAGAACGATATATAGAGAATGTCATTGTCCTATAAAACATGTATTTTCTCTGTTTTTCTTATGCTTTCTCTATCTATTTATATATAGATTGTATCGAGGAAAAAGACGAAGATTCATTTTTTATTT